CACGTTCATATGATTCACGTTCGGTACTTTGATAATTTGATATGTGGGTGGACCGGTGCTTGGGTGTTGTCCTTACTTGGACAAGTATCCCACTTATGATTAACCCCTATTGCAAGCATCCGAACTACAAAAGAAGTATTAAGGTAAACCTAACCATAGCATGAAACATATGGATCCAAATCAGCCCCTTATGAAGCAACTCATAAACTAGGGTATAAGCTTCTACCACTCTAGCAACCCATTGTCTACTTATTACTTCCCAATGCCTTCCTCTAGGCCCAAACAATGGTGAAGTTTCATGTAGTCGACGTTCACATAACACCACTAGAGGAGAGACAACATACATCTCATCGAAATATTGAACGAATACCAAATTCACATGACTACTAATAGCAAGACTTCTCCCATGTCCTCAGGAACAAACGTAACTACTCACAAAGCATATTCATGTTCCTAATCAGAGGGGTATTAATATGCATAATGGATCTGAACATATGATCTTCCACCAAGTAAACAAACTAGCATCAACTACAAGGAGTAATCAACACCACTAGCAACCTACAGGTACCAATCTCAGACTTAGAGACAAGGATTGGATACAAGAGATGAACTAGGGCTTGAGAGGAGATGGTGCTGGTGAAGATGTTGATGGAGATTGACCCCCTCCCGATGAGAGGATCGTTGGTGATGACGATGGCGATGATTTCCCCCTCCCGGAGGGAAGTGTCCCCGGCAAAACAGCTCCTCCAGAGCCCTAGATTGGTTCCGCCAAGGTTCCGCCTCGTGGCGCCGGAGTCTCGTCCCGTAAGCTTGCTTATGATTTTTTTTCTCGGACGAAAGACTTCATATAGCAGAAGATGGGCACCGGAGGGCCAATAGGGGGCCCACGAGGCAGGGGGCGCGCCCAGGGGGCCACCCTCGTGGCCAGGGTGTGGGCCCCCTCTGGTATTTTCTTCGCTCAGTATTTTTTTATTATTTCCAAAAATAACTTCCGTGGAGTTTCAGGACTTTTGGAGTTGTGCAGAATAGGTCTCTAATATTTGCTCCTTTTCCAACCCAGAATTCCAGTTGCCGGCATTCTCCCTCTTCGTGTAAACCTTGTAAAATAAGAGAGAATAGCCATAAATATTGTGACATAATGTGTAATAATAGCCCAGAATGCAATAAATATCAATATAAAAGCATGATGCAAAATGGACGTATCAGGGGTGATTTCAATATCATTAGGAGGAGAGAGGAAAAAAACAATGATAACTTCGACGGTAGGTGGTCATTTATGTTTAATACCATTGTTGAAAGCTTGGATCTGAGAGAGATAGTGCTTTCGGGTAGAAAATTTACCTGGGCTAATGCCTTGCCAAATCTGACGTTTGAGAAGCTAGATCGAGTCCTAGCGAGCGTCGAATGGTAACATAAATTTCCTTTGGTAACGGTCCAGGCACTTTCGCGTGGAATTTTTGATCACACGCCTTTATTTGTGGACTCGGGTGAGCCATCGCACATGGGGAACAAAAACTCGTTTTCATTCGAGATGGCATGGTTTGAACGAGAAGGCTTCTTGGATCTGATAGCCAAGGAATGGGCTAAGGATGCAGGAGGTAGGACTTCGGTTGAGCGCTGGCAGAATAAGATAAGGCATTTGAGAAGTTTCTTGCGTGGTTGGGCTAAGCATCTTAGTGGGACTTATAAGGTCGAAAAGGAAAGGCTCCTTACACTTATTCAGTCCCTAGATTTAAAAGTCGAGTCCACAATTTTGCAAGCCACGGAGCTTCATGCTAAACTGGAGGCGAAGATGAGGTTGAAAGAGCTTCTCCGTGAAGAGGAATTAAAGTGGGCGCTGCGGGCTAAGGCTCGCAAAGTTGTCCAGGGGGACGTGAACACTCAATTCCTTCACATGATCGCTAATGGCAAGAACAAAAAGAAGAGAATCTTTCAGCTTGAACAAGATGAAGGAACGATTTTAGGACAGGAAAACCTAAAATTATACATAATCGAATACTACAAGTAGTTGTCTCCGGAGGATAATTGTGTATCCCTGGATGAGTCCAGGATTGAGGATGTGCCTCAGCTTACTGCTGATGAGAATGATATTTTGATTGCCCCGTTTTCGGAGAAAGAGGTGTTTGAATCCATTACACAGATGAAAAACAATAAGGCCTCAGGGCTGGATGGATTTCCGGCGGAATTCTATAAAAAGTGTTGGCATATTATTAAGGGGGATTTGCTACCAATGTTCCATGATTTATTCTCTGGACGGCTTCAGTTATTTCACTTGAATTTTGGAACAATAACATTGGTTCCTAAGAAAACAGAGGTTGTGAAATTGAGCAGTTCAGGTCGATCTGTCTTCTCAATGTTAGTTTCAAAATTTTCACCAAGGTTGGGACTAATAGGCTCACGCAGATTGTGCATTCTGTGGTGCAGCATTCCCAAACCGCTTTCATGCCGGACAGGAACATCCTAGAAGGGGTTGTGGTCCTTCATGAAACGCTCCACGAAATCCACACGAAAAAACTAGATGGAGTCGTTTTTAAGGTGGATTTCGAGAAAGCATACGATAAAGTCAAAGGGCCTTTCCTTCAACAAGCCTTGCGTGTGAAAGGTTTTGATGAGGCCTGGCGACACCTGGTAGAATCGTTCACGCAAAAGGGGAGTGTTGGAATTAAAGTGACTGACGACATAGGTCATTATTTCCAGACACATAAGGGCCTGAGACAAGGGGATCCGATGTCTCCTATTTTGTTCAACATTGTAGTTGATATATTGGCAATTCTAATAGGAAGGGCTAAGGAGGCTGGTCAGGTGGGTGGCTTGGTGCCTCATCTAGTTGATGGAGGTGTGTCTATCCTATAGTACGCCGATGATACGATCATCTTTATGGAGCATGACTTGGCAAAAGCGAGAAATATGAAGTTGGTGTTATGCTTATTTGAACAATTGGCCGGGTTAAAGATTAACTTTCACAAAAGCGAATTGTTTTGTTTTGGAAGAGCCAATGAGGAACAAGAAGCTTATAGGCAATTGTTTGGGTGAGAATTGGCGACCTTACCTTTTACGTATTTAAGTATACCAATTCACCATCGTAAGCTGACAAACAGAGAATCGAAGTGTATCGAGGATCTCTTTGAAAAGAAACTGAGTTGCTGGAAGGGCAAGCTCATGTCATACGGAGGCCGATTAATTCTGATTAATTCGGTTCTCACGAGTATGCCTATGTTTCTCTTGTCTTTCTTCGAAGTCCCAGTTGGAGTTAGGAAAAGGCTGGACTTTTATTGATCCCGATTCTTCTGGCAGAGCGATAAACTAAAAAGAAAATACAGACTCGCCAAATGGGATATTATCTGTCGACAAAAAGACCAAGGGGGTCTTGGCATTGAGAATCTTGAGGCCAAGAATAGATGTCTTCTTAGCAAGTGGCTGTCGAAGTTATTTGTCGAGACTGATGCCACTTGGGTGCAGATCCTCCGTAGTAAGTATCTTCACTCCAAAACTTTGTCCTAGGTGACAGCGAGGCCGACTGACTCACCTTTTTGGAAAGGGCTTATGAGAGTCAAATTAGTCTTTTTAATAGAACAAAGTTTATTATCGGCAATGGTGCTAGCACACAATTCTGGAAGGATACTTGGCTCAGAGAGACCACCCTTGCACTTCAATACCCGTCTCTGTATCGTATTGTTCAACGATGCGATGCTTTCGTTGCAATGGTACTTCAATCCATTCCCCTTAATATTCAATTCAGGAGGACGCTGGCCGGTAATCGTTGGGGAGAGTTTACTGTTAAATCAATGTATCTCAATGTTATCAATTCGAGCTCTGTTTCTAGTTCCAAATATGTTTGGACAGTCAAAGTTCCTTTGAAAATTAAAGTGTTTATGTGGTTTGTACATAAACAAGTCATCTTAACCAAGGACAATTTGGCAGTTTTGTGATCGGGATGAAACTATCAAACACCTTTTTTTGATTGCCCGTTAGCCAAAGTTTTACAGTGGACGGTCCACATTGCTTTTAATATTACTCCTCCGAGTTCTGTCAGCACGTTATTTGCAACGTGGCTTAACGGGATAGAGTCCGAAACAGCGAGACACATTCGCGTAGGAGTATGTGCTTTATTGTGGGCAGTCTGGAACTGCAGAAATGATTTGGTTTTTAACAGAACAACAAATATTCATTTTTTGCAGGTTATCTTCCGAGCCACTGCGTTGATCCGTATGTGGTGGCTACTCACTCCGACGGAGACCAGGGAGTATTTGGTTACTGGATCCATCCAGTAGGAGATGGTAGCACGGAATATCTTTAACCGGTTTGGATGGCGGTCATGTAATAGGATAGGCAATTAGTTTACCTATTTTTTTATGCCAGCCGGTTGTGCCTTTTTTTGGCTAGTTTGTTATTGGCCCTTTGGCTCTTTGTGAGCTTTCCTTTACTTTCTTTTGAGACTTTAAAACCTTGCTGAACCTATTTGCTTATTTATAAAGTTGGCCGTATGCATCGTTCTGATGCAGAGGCCGGGGAGCCCCCCTTTTCGAAAAAAAAATCACTACTTTCTCAAACTAAGAATTCTTCTCATCGTATTTCAGCATTTTTCAAAATACAGGGCACCATGAAAAGAAGGACCAAAATTGCCATCGGTTCTGCGGTTGGTAGTTTTGCATTATTTGCAACTGCCATCTCCATTTTCACTTGGAGAAAATGGAAGAAAACAGAGGAAGAAGAATGCTTCCTTGGAGGAATACCTGGAGTACCAGCACGCTTCTCCAATAACGAGCTGAAGATAGCCACAAGCAACATCTCGATGAGGCTTGGATCTGGAGGGTTTGGTTCTGTCTTCAAAGGTAAAATAGGCAAGGAAACTATAGTTGTCAAGCAGTGCTTAGAAGGTGTTGACCAAGGAAAGCATGAGTTCTTAGGTTGAGACCATAGGAAGAATTCATTACTTTAATCTTGTTAGGTTAATTGGATTTTGTGGTGAAAAATCAAGCAGGCTACTTGTGTACAAGTATATGGGCAACAGTTCATTGGATAAATGGATAATCCATGCACATCCAGTTTTTACTCTCTCTTCGAAGCCAACGCGTAATATCATAATGGGTATTGCTAAGGGCCTATCTTATCTCCATGAGGGATGTAAACAAAGGATTGCTAACCTAGACATCAAGCCACAGAACATTCTTCTGGATGACAGGTTTAATGCGAAGGTCTCGGATTTTGGATTATCGAAATTGATAAGTAGGGATGATAGCAAGATCATGACTCGGATGCGAGGCACACGTGGATATCTTGCACCTGAGTGGCTAGGTTCGAAGATCACCGAGAAGGTAGACATCTACAGCTTTGGAATTGTCATAGTTGAAATTATATGTGGCCGAAGGAACCTGGATGAATCACTGCCTGAAGAGCGAGTTCACCTAATCAGTCTTCTGCAAGAAAAGGCTAGATGTGGGAAGCTATTCGATTTGGTGGACACCAGCAGCAACAACATGCAATTTCACATGGAGGAGGTTAGAGAAATGATGGAGCTCGCAATGTGGTGCTTACAGGTTGATAGCAGCAAGAGGCCTCTGATGTCAACAGTTGCCAAGGTGTTGGAAGGTGCGATGACTTTAGAGTCCAGACCTCACTATGATCTTGTTGCTAATCATGAACCAAATCAGAGCGATATTAAGGTGCAAATTTGTTCATACCTGCCTTCGGCAACACATCTGTCGGGGCCTAGGTGACAGTTTCATGCAGCCTTCCCAAATACACCAAAAGCGCTGTTTAAGGCTACTAGTATATATCATGAGTCTAATGTGTTGTCTAGGTGTCAACTCGTGAAGTTGCACCTAGATGAGGCTTTCTAAAGTTGTATTTTTTTTTCTTGTATCAGAAGGGTGTAACAGCTCCCAGGTGCTTAGGCACCTTCTATGAACAGTAAATTCAAAAAAAAAGAAAAAAAATTAAAAAAATCTGAAACTTTGCAACATCAAAGATGGTCAAACTTTGTAGGTTCTTGCATGTTTTCATGCCAAAATATCATGTAGAAAATGGTGTACAAACGAGTTTCAGATTTTAGTGCTAAAAGTACTCGAAACTTCAAGCACTGAAATCTTTTTCGTGTGTAGAGCTCCTCGAATGGTTTTTTGGCATGAAAACTTGCAAAGTTTCAGAATTTTTTCGATTTTTTTCTATTTTCTTGTTTTTTTTTCTTTTATTTGTACCGCCTATTGTTTTTTCACGCAACAACCGTGTTGTATAAATTCCTCCATTTGCATGTACATGGCTTGGTTGCACCAATGATCCCAATGGGCCATTTCTAATGCTATTTTTCATGATTAGTTGAAGAGCACTCATTGAGCCCAGCAATACATGGTCGATATGTGATATATGCTAGATTTAACTGTATATATTTTCTAAAGGATCATTTCTCCACTTCAGACATCAGTAAGTAATGGAGTAGTATTTGTCGGTCTTTGTTATTGCCGTACTTGTAACTGGAAGTGCTCACGTTATAGATTGGATCGAATGGTCAGTGTGAAGGTTCTGACAGTGAAATGGGTTAGATCGGATGAATGTGGCTGTCGGTTAAATCTTGCGCATGCTTCTAGTGATGAACAATGCCCAGGTTCAACGAATATTGGTACTGTAGTTGATGAGGTGCGTCCGGATCCAAGATGGCAATGGGGCCCCGAAACTCGCGTCCCCGTGGGTTTTTACCCTATTAGGGGACGGGGATGGGCATCTTCTCGTCCCCACAGGGCTGTTGTTGGGCATATTATACAACCCGACACGTTTCGTGGGTTTACACCCGTTTCGGTAGTCCCCGAACCCGAAACCCGGCAATACCTACGAAACTACAGTCTTTTCATGTATAACTTTAGCTTGAGCGAATTTTGATCTTCCCTAGGACTTGGCACTTTGATTTGGCATTGGAAGATTTGAAGATGGTCCTTTGGAGGCTTGGAGTTGTGAAAGATTCCAACTTTAAAGTGATTTGTGAACTATAAATTCTATTTCAGAACTTATGTATTGGGCATTTCGTCTCGTTAGTGCTCATGATTTGTGAACCAAGAATTCTATTTTAGAACTTGTGTAATTGCACATCTTGTTGAACCATGTATGGCTGAAATCTAATCATCTTTGTTGCTAAAATCTGATCATCCTTGTTGCTGAAATGTGGTATCATGCTGCTGAAATACACTCTATATAATTGTTGAACCATCTACTATTGTTTCTTGTTGAAATTTGCTCGAGTTATGCTGCTGAAATGTGCTTGTTTTGCTGCTAAAATGTTATTCTTTGTCACCACTATGTTTGTTTAAATATTTTGATTTTCTCGTGGGTTCCCCCTGGGTTCCCCGAAACCCGATGGGTTTAGGGGATGGGCGAAAAACTAGCCCCGCACACGGTGATGGGGACGGAGGCGGGTTTACAATTTTCTCGCGGGGATGGGTTTGGGAAGGCCAAACCCGATGGGTTTCGTCCCCGTTGCCATCTTGAGTCCGGATGTGTTGTAGGGTGCTTGTAGAGATGAACAATAATGCCCAGGATCAGCAAGTATTGCTACTGTGATTGATGAGGTGCATCCAGATGGTAGCGCGCTCTGTTTGTTGCCTTGTCTCATTTACTGGACAACAATATCCATGGCTCTGCATATATGGGGTTGCAGGAGGAGCAGCAATTGTCAGTGGTAATTCCTAACATAGTAAGTACTACTAAATTTACAGGACAACAAGATCAACTTTCTGAAAAAAGCACTACTAAATTTAACTGTTGCCTGTTGGTGGCAGTGGTAATTCATGTATATATGTTTTGTCGTTATAATTAGAGACGATGGATGAAATTTCCAAAATGCAAGTGTAACATGAGTGAGTGCATAGTTGTAAGAAAAGGTAGACATGCATTTTTGCCCGCTGGTTTCTTCACTCTCCATTGCGCCACATCATTTCGTTTAGAGAAAATTCCACATTTCAACCCTGAACTAACCACGGCGTTTAATTTTCAACCCTCAACTCTAAAACCGGTCGGATTTCAACCCTGAACTTGTCACACTG